GGGGTAAGAATAAGCGACATTTGTCTCCGGGTCAAAGAGCATGACCGAGGGACAGGGGAAGTCGATGTGGAGTTAATCATGGGCTGCATCCCGCCCACCGTTGCGTGTTCCCATTAGGAGACTGCCAGATGATCCGTGGTCGGCAGCCACGGGACCTGACCCGCACGGAGGATTCGTTCAATCAGGGGAAAAGTGTCAATCGTCTGGACGCCGGGGTGACGAGGACACCGATGCTTTCTCTAGGCAGTTTGATCAACCTGTCACCAGGCTTGGCAGATAAATATTCTCAGCCTTGAACACTGGAAAGGCAGAGCCAGCCTTGCAACCTCAAGGATGCTGTGAGGGTGAAAGGAGAAGCAAGAAAGGAGGACTGTGAGGTCCTTGGTGCTCTCTGAGCTGGGTGGTTTTCTTGCGGACGTTTCATGACCCAACTAGAAAACATCATCAGGGCTAGAAGGGAGAGGGAGGGAGGGAAGGAGGGAGGGAGACAGATGGAGAGAAGAAAGCGGACTGTGGGATCCCTGGTGCTCAAGGAGCTGGGTGCTTTTCTTGCAGACGTTTCATGACCCAAGTAGGTAACACCATCAGGGCTATAAGGAAATGGCAGGAGGAGGAGGAGGAGGAAGAGGAGGAGGAGGAGGAGGAGGAGCAGCAGCAGCAGCAGCAGCAACTATCTGACCCTGGTGGTTTTCTTGCAGGCATTTCATGACCCAACTAGGGAACATCATCAGGGCTAGAAGGCAGTGGGGCAGTGGGGGTTTATGGTGAGGAGGAGGAGGAGGAGGAGGAGGAGGAGGAGGAGGAGGAGGAGGAGGAGGAGGAGCTCTCTAATCTTGGTTTTCTTGCAGACGTTTCATGACCCAAGTAGGTAACACCATCAGGGCTATAAGTGAATGGCAGGAGGAGGAGGAGGAGGAGGAGGAGGAGGAGGAGGAGGAGGAGGAGGAGGAGGAGGAGGAGGAGGAGGAGGAGGAGCAGCAGCAGCAGCAGCAACTATCTGACCCTGGTGGTTTTCTTGCAGACGTTTCATGACCCAGCTAGGGAACATCATCAGGGCTAGAAGGCAGTGGGGTTTATGGAGAGGAGGAGGAGGAGGAGGAGGAGGAGGAGGAGGAGGAGGAGGAGGAGGAGGAGGAGGAGGAGGAGGAGGAGGAGGAGGAGGAGGAGAATTGGTTTTTTTTCTTGCAGATCTTTCATGACCCAGAAAACTGGCCAAAATTGCAAAACGCTGGTCTAGCATGTAATGCTGGGCATTTTTTCAGATACCTCTGAAGATATCCTGGAAATGTCTGGCAAAGATATAATAAGTGTACACAGTGAACTTTGTAGCCCCATCCCTACACTGCACTACTGTGAGCCTAGCGAACAAAACAGTGAACAAAATGTTAACATTAACTGAATGCAAAGCCGTGTATTTCACCATAAAAATACTGAAAGTCAAAGTCATTTGCTTCCAAAGCAGCTTTCATAAACAGATGGAATTTATTAGAAAGCTTATGGAAAGAGAGGGAGAGGAAAGAGAGAGAGGGAGGGAGGGAGGGAGAGAGAGAGAGAGAGAGAGAGAGAGAGAGAGAGAGAGAGAGAGAGAGAGAAAGGGAGAGAGTGTGTGGGTGTGTGGGTGAGAAAGAGAGAGAGAGAGAGGAAGGAAAGAAAAAGAAAGAAGGAAGGAAGGAAGGAAGGAAGGAAGGAAGGAAGGAAGGAAGGAAGGAAGGAAGGAAGGAAAGAAAGAGGAAGGAAGGAAGGAAGGAAGGAAGGAAGGAAGGGGAAAGAAGGAAGGAGAAAGAAAGAAAAAAAGAAAGAAAGAAAGAAAGAAAGAAAGAAAGAAAGAAAGAAGGAAGGAAGGAAGGAAGGAAGGAAGGAAGGGGAAAGAAGGGGAAAGAAGGAAGGAAGGAGAAAGAAAGAAAGAAAGAAAGAAAGAAAGAAAGAAAGAAAGAAAGAAAGAAAGAAAGAAAGAAAGAAAGAAAAAGAGATGTATACTATCATTCCAAATTTTATGCACACCACCCACCAAAGCTTTTGCTGCAACGCACATACCCAGCGAACAAAAAACACCCTCGAAAAAGAGAAGAGTGACTGAATAATCTACCGTAGAAAAGAGAATTAGATCCATACAGAGCCTTTATAAAATGGCTGTCAAGAAATGAGATGGGGGGGGGAGGGAGATTGTGGAAAAAAAACCTCTGGTTAAATTTTGCAAAGTGCAAAATGGAGATAATCCCTGCAAATCTATTTTCCATGTCTGGGGGGGGGGAGGTTTCCCTCCCTTTCTCTCTTGTACAGTACAAAAGGTTGACTTTTAAAAACCGTCTTTCGGAATCAAGCTGTTTAAACCCGAAAGCCTGTGTAAATTTCTCCACGAGCTGAACGTCTCTACCAAGTTTCAATTCCTTCACCCAGATAGCACTCTATAAATCACTGCTAATGCTGAACAAAGAGCGATGTTCCTGCAAATATTTATTTCTCCGCCGAATTACAGCCTCCTTATAAAGAGCTTCCAAATATTTCTTAGGCCCTGAATAATTACGATCCAACCAAAGGCTTCAAGCCCCATGAGTCATGCTGTAGTTGTGAACTACGTTTCTTTAAAACAGGGGTGTCCAATCTTGGCAACATTGAGGACTTTTGGACTCCAACTCCCAGAATTCCACAGTCCACCAGTCTCCAAGTTGGCTGGGGAATTCAAACATGGCTGGGCGTGGAATTTATTTATTTATTTATTTATTTATGAGACTTATATACCGCTTTAAGTGCAAGCACTCTCTAAGCGGTGTACACCAGTAAGCAATGTATATATATATTTACATTGCCCCCAACAATCTGGGTCCTCATTCTGGGAAATGAAGTCCCCAAGTCTTCAAGATGAAGTCTACAAGGCTTCAAGCCCTATGGGTCATGCTGTAGTTGTGAACTACGTTGCTTTAAAACAGGGGTGTCCTGGCAACCTTAAATCTTGGCAACATTGAGGACTTTTGGACTCCAACTCCCAGAATTCCACAGTCCACCAGTCTCCAAGTTGTCTGGAGAATTCAAACATGGCTGATCGGGGAATTCTGGGAGTTGAAGTCCACCAGTCTCCAAGTTGAAATCCACAAGTTGACAAGTCTTCAGGCTCCGTGGCTGGCCAGGGAATTCTGGGGGTTCTGGATTGCATTTCCTTAAGAGAATGGATCCCAGCAGGTGTGAACTCCATGGGGTCCTTGATGCTCTCTGAGCTTGCAGACGTTTCATGACCCAACTGGATAACATCGTCAGTGCTGGCACGAGTGTGGGGTCTGACTGTGACTTCAAGAGGGAAGAGAAAACCTGGACAATCTAGCAGCACATCAGGAAGGAGAAGATTAAGAAGCCCATCTAACTCATGGTTTCATACACTGGAGGTTCACAGTGTGCATTAAATAGAATAAAGCGTAGACACTGTTTAATGTTATCGGTGCAGGAGGACTAATCAAAGGGCATAATAAATTGTTCCATTTTAAACTGCTAACATTAATTACATTAACGCGAACACAGAAAGAGTAAGCACATTTCCTGGTAAGAACCAAAAAATCAATTAAGACCAGCCATAATATTTCAAAGGGCTGTAATTTCAGCATAACACATAAATTTGTTTTACTCCTCAAAGACGCATATTTTAGTCCGGTAAGGGATTTTCGGTTGTGTTTATGTTCAATTTGGTATGACATTAGCTTAATTTAGATGGAAATCCTATAAACACCTTCCTGGGTGTAACATTCCTCTGAAGTCTACTGGGACGGTCTGTTTAAACCTCTGTTGGTTAATTCCATCATAATGCAGTGTTAAAACAGAGACGAGCAATATTCACAGATGACTTGAGCAAACGCCAATTACAAGGCTTTCACAAATGCAAAATCGGGAGCTTGTGAAACGCATCTAAGTGAAAGTCAAATAACGACATCTTATCGATTTTAAGATGCCCAAAACATTTCGAAAATCCACCTCGCTGTACAGGCATGTTAAAAAATGGCCCTTGCTAGTCCTCAGGTGAGCGCAGAATTGAATGTAAGAAAAACAACAGCTTGCCTTCAAAAAGCACGCAGGAAATTTTACTGATTTGACGTAATTTAATAGTAATAATAATAAAGTTGGAAGGGACCTTGGAGGTCATCGAGTCCAACCCCCTGCTCAGGCAGGAAACCCTACACCATTTCAGACAAATGGCTGTCCGGTCTCTTCTTAAAGACTTCCAGTGTTGGAGCATTCACCGCTTCTGGAGGCAGGTTGTTCCACTGGCTAATTGTTCTAATTGTCAGGAAGTTTCTCCTTAGTTCCAGGTTGCTTCTCTCCTTGATTAGTTTCCCTCTGTTGCTTCTTGTCCTGCCTTCTGGTTCTTTGGAGACTGGTTGACCCCCTCTTCTTTCTGGGAGCTTCTTAGATATTGAAAGGCTGCTATCAGAATTAGAAGGGACCTTGGAGGTCATCTAGTCCAGCCCCCTGCTCGGGCAGGAAACCCTGTACCATTTCAGACAAATGGCTGTCCAGTCTCTTCTTAAAGACTTCCAGTGTTGGAGCATTCACCACTTCTGGAGGCAGGTGGTTCCACTGGCTAATTGTTCTAACTGTCAGGAAGTTTCTCCTTGGTTCTAGATTGTTTCTTTGAGGTTAAGTCAAACCAGTAAAAATCTGAAGGTATTTTTTTTTAATATGTAATGAAAGATCTTCAAAAACGAAGGGGGGAGATGCATGCTGGATGGCACTGTCAGGAATTATAAAAATTGTTTTCACCTCAGGTTTAACTTTCACACATAGCAAGCAGCTTTTTTAAAAAAAAATGAAATAAAGCTCCTTTTTCCAAAGGAAACAGCAGCAAAACCCCTCCAAAGTGAAGTGCACCAGCTGTGTTGGAATTGAAGTTCCCAAATTCCCAACCGTTTCCACTCGTTTGCTTTTCTACTTTAAGGGCACCAATCGTTATTTCAACCCTTGAATCCAAAGTTTTTTATTTCCCCACAAAACCGTGAAAATAATTGAAATGAATTTACCTTTTCTGAGCTTCAGCATCTCGCCTAGCTTCTTCCAAAGCCAATTCTTCAGCTATTCTTTTCTTTAGTTCTTCTTCATTGACTGGAATTAAGAGATGGGGGGGGGGGAAACATCAATGCGAGTTGCATGTAACCAGCTCAAGGGAACTGTCTTTTGTTCATCAATTTCGTTTTTGACTCATGCATCTTTGAGGGTGGATGGGTGGTTTAGAAATATATGAAAAGAAAGAAAGAAAGAAAGAAAGAAAGAAAGAAAGAAAGAAAGAAAGAAAGAAAGGAAGGAAGGAAGGAAGGAAGGAAGGAAGGAAGGAAGGAAGGAAGGAAGGAAGGAAGGAAGGAAGGAAGGAAGGGAAAGAAAGGAAGGAATGGGAAAGAAAGAAAGGAAGGAATGGGAAAGAGAAAGAAAGAAAGAAAGAAAGGAAGGAAGGAAGGAAGGAAGGAAGGAAGGAAGGAAGGAAGGAAGGAAGGAAGGAAGGAAGGATGAAGGGAATGGGAAAGAAAGGAAGGAAAGAATGAAGGGAATGGGAAAGAAAGAAAAAAGGAAGGAAGGATGAATGGAATGGGAAAGGAAGGAAGGGAATGAGAAAGAAGAAGGAAGGAAGGAGAGAGAAAAAGAAAGAAAGAAAGAAAGAAAGAAAGAAAAGGAAGGAAGAAGGGAATGGGAAAGAAAGAAAGAAAGAAAGAAAGAAAGAAAGAAAGAAAGAAAGAAAGAAAGAGAAAGAAAGAAAGAAAAGATGAAGGGAATGGTAAAGGAAGGAAGGAAAGAATGAAGGGAATGGGAAAGAAAGAAGGAATGAAGGAAGGAAGGAAAGAGAAAAGATGAATGGAATGGGAAAGGAAAGAAGGAAGGAAGGGAATGAGAAAGAAGAAGGAAGGAAGGAAGGAAGGAAGGAAGGAAGGAAGGAGAGAGAGAGAGAGAGAGAGAGAGAGAGAGAGAGAGAGAAAGAAAGAAAGAAAGAAAGAAAGAAAGAAAGAAAGAAAGAAAGAAAGAAAGAAAGAAAGAATCTTTGCTGTGAATTGGACCTCCAGTAAACTGAATCAGGTCCCTGATTGCTATTATGGATATGAACTCCCAAGATACCTCTCAATCCATCGCTTTGAAAGACAACTTGGCTTCCCGTATTTTAGCATTGGGCTCCACTTAAAAATCTAATCTACTGGAATAATGTAGGAGAAGATATGGCAGAACCTGGAGATGGAGTTAAAAGAGGGATCAGCCTAGCCTCCCTACAAGCAAATTAAGTCCAATCGCTATGGACTGCCTTTGGCTTTTATCTAACTCTAGTTAGTTCAGAGGATCCCTACACATGGGCTTTTAGCAATAAACCAGCTTAATTGGACCTTCCTAAGTGGACCTGATCTTTCGCATCTGACAATATCTGAAAATCATTACGGTAAAGAAAGATTGTTTATGGGGGTTCTCAAATTCTGACTTAGAACACAGGGTGGAGTCCACTGAGGTATCCTATGGAGCAATAAACTCATGGGAACTTATATTTTAAAGCACCAGAAGGCAGGACAAGAAACAAGAGATGGAAACTCACCAAGGAGAGAAGCAACCTGGAATTAAGGAGAAACTTCCTAACAGTGAGGAGAATTAACCCGTGGAACAGCTTGCCTCCAGAAATTGTGAATGCTCCATCACTGGAGGTTTTTAAAGAAGAGACTGGACAGTCACTTGTCTGAAATGATATAGGGACTCCTGCTTGAGGGCGGGGCTGGACTAGAAGACCTCCAAGGTCCCTTCCAGCTTTATTCTGATTGGTCTATAAAATCTCCACAAGCAGCTTTCTGGGAAGGCAGCAAAGTCAAAATAATAATAATAATAGTTGGAAGGTACCTTGGAGGTCATCTAGTCCAACCCCCTGCTCAGGCAGGAAACCCTATACCATTTCGGACAAATGGCTGTCCAGTCTCTTCTTAAAAACTTCCACAGCATTCACCGCTTCTGGAGGCAGGTAGTTCCACTGATTAATTGTTCTCACTGACAGGAAATTGCTCCTTAGTTCCTTAGTTGTTTCTCTCCTTGGTCAGTTTCCATCGGTTGCTTTTTGTCCTGCAAAAACAATTTACCCTGCAATTGATCATTAGATTAATTTCACCTCTGGAGGGATATTTTAAATATTTCAAGACTCAGATCTGGCAGCTGACAACAGGCATACAATGCGTAACAATGAAGATGTCTTCATTGGGGTTTTTTATGGGTCCTCTGTGTAAGGATGGAGAGAAAAAGGCTAATGGGCCATTGGAACAACTTCTGAAGCACCATAAATACAATCTGGCTATAAAGACATGGCCCATTTGACCTTAACAATCAACTGGGTTACATATTGATCAGCCCAGACGCTAATAGGAAATAACAGTGAGGACGTAGATTGTTAAATAGAAATTCTATTACTCTAGATATATAGGATTGTTCCGGAACGAGACAGTCAAGAAAACTAAGTAAGGCCTAAACCTAGAAAAAAAGGACCCAAGGATGAGATATAACTCCAGCAATTTTATTTATCTGCCCATGTTCTTGCAACAAAAAAAAAAAAGCAAATCGTTTCACTTAAATGGATGGGTTGAACATCTTAGCAGGCAATTCCTATTTAGCTGAGGCAGATGAATCATGTAGAAATAAACCCTTAGGAAGTCAAATCAAGCACAATTACTCTGAGTCTAGTTAAGTTAAGGTCAGCCGCATAGCGTGCGTGCTTAGCAGAAAACCTGATTTTTCTAATGACAGACTCCAAGACTACCCTAGGCGCTCGCCAGATGATCTGGAGGCACAATGATGGGCAAAAACTGCCCAGAAAGGAGATTTTCACATTATACTCTGTCCAGATTAACGTCGAAAAGAACTAAAACGCCCGTTTGCTTCGATGATCCTCATTAGGAACCGCAGAATGGACAATCTTACGAATCGAAGACACCTTTCGCTGTCTCACATGAAGCAGAAAATAACAGAATAACAGAGCTGGAAGGGACCTTGGAGGTCTTCTAGTCCAACCCCCTGCTCAGGCAGGAAACCCTAGACCAGGGGTAGGCAACCATGGCTCTTTTATGACCGGTGGACTTCAACTCCCAGAATTCCCGAGCCAGCCACGCTGAGGGGAAAGGGAGAGGTTGCCAAGCTGAGCCATGCTGGCTCAGGAATTCTGGGAATTGAAGTCCACCAGTCATAAAAGAGCCAAGGTTGCCTACCCCTGGTCTAGGAGGCTCACCACTTAGAACAGGAGGACTTAGGATAGGGGTAGGCAACCTTGGTTCTTTTATGACTGGTGGACTTCAACTCCCAGAATTCCTGAGCCAGCATGGCTCAGCATGGAAACCTCTCGCTTTCCCCTCAGCATGGCTGGCTCAGGAATTCTGGGAGTTGAAGTCCACCAGTCATAAAAGAGCCAAGGTTGCCTAACCCTGCCCCAGCCAGCCAGGAATTCTGGGAGTTGAAGTCCATGAGTCTTAAAGCTGCTGAGGAGTTTGACAAACACAGCTTTAGAAGATCTCCAAGACTCGTGCTGCAGAAGAAGGGCAGGCCACACACTGAGCCACGCGGGGACAACCCAAAAGCGGTCGCCATTTTGTCCTGCCCACTTGTGGGTGAGACCAAAGGGTGTCCACGGGATAAAGCCCTCCATTTTGCTGCCTTAATGAGATCTGCACAATGCTGCAGGCTTTCAAAGCTTTTTGCAGCATTGCACAAATCTGGTTAAGGCAGGGGTCTTCCAACTTGGCCCTTTGATGACTTCTGGACTTCAACTCCCAGAATTCCTCAGCCAGCGTGAGGGAATTATGACCCTTTTGTGACTTGTGGACTTCAACTCCCAGAATTCCTCAGCCAGCGGTGAGGGAACTATGATCCTTTATGACTTGTGGACTTCAACTCCCAGAATTCCTCAGCCAGGCACGCTGGCTGAGGAATTCTGGGAGCTGAAATCCACAAATCATCAAAGGGCCAAGTTTGAAGACGCCTGGGTTAAGGCAACAAAATGGAGTCGTTTGTTCTTGGGTTGCTCAGCTTATACTAGACCTCCCCCACCCTGAGACCCTCTGTGCTCCACTTAATGACCTGCACATTTGTTTAATGGCTGCATTTGAAAGAGCAGGAATGGGGAAGCCATTAACTGAGATGCTTCATTTAACAACCCATTGTGACATATGACTGTAATAGGCAGACTCCATTACAGCCGTCTCATGAGGTTGGCCTGTATTCTATTCTAGCTTTACTTCATACTATCCTAGGTTAAAGCTAGGTTATGCAGCAACCCAGCTTTCCTTGCTAGTTCCAGAGGGCTTCCTAGACAAAAGGCTAGACTGGTAACTATGCTCCAAACGTGTCAACTTCAAGACTCGTGGACCTCAACTCCCAGAATTCCACAAGGTTGGCTGGGGAATTCTGGGAGTTGAAGTCCACGAGTCTTAAAGTTGCCAATTTTGGAGAACCTGGATTATGCCTTATGCCAAAAATGAATCTGCTTCTTCTGAGAAAAGATTGTCTAAAGAAAAGTCCACAGCCCTCTCCGGGTCTCCACAATTCACAACTGTGGGCTAAGCATTCAAACCAAGCAACGATGACCAAATATATTTAAGTGAAGTTAGTTGGAATAATAAGTTCTCCTCCCCCCCCCCCCCACGAAGGCAAATTTACTGTTAACAGTGCTGGTTAATTTGCTCATTTAAATTATGGGCAAAAGGGACCGGGATTCTGATTTAACACAACTGGAGAGCTTTATTGCGGTCTAAAGTCATTTGGGTAAGAAAGCTCATTAAAATACTAGAGCTACCACACAGCCGAATCGTTTATCACCTCTAGGGCACAATAAGTCTTCGGGACAGTGAACAAAAGAGGGGATAAAAGGAAGAAATGAGTTTAAAAAAAAAAAAATACCAAGCTTGAAAATCCTTCAGATAAAGCAACTTTAGTCCTGGGGTAAACAGCAGCCGGGAACCCAAATGAACTTCTGGTGAGAGAGATTTGCTGGCTTTGCACAGCAAGCTTACTGACGGGCAACTGAACCATGGCTTACTCAATTAACCTGATCATCAGAAGGAGGGCAGAGAAGAGCAACAAAGATGATTAGGGGACTGGAGGCTAAA